CTACAAAATATCAAGAACTAAATACCAAGACAAATGTTCTACAAAATATCAAGAACTGAGTACCAAGACAGATGTCTACAAAATATCTAGAACTGAGTACCAAGACAGATGTCTACAAAATATCTAGAACTGAGTACCAAGACAGATGTCTATAAATGATACCCAGTATGTCTATACATAATCAGAGCATAGGACATCCTATCATGTCCTTATACGGTCAACTCAGTCACATCCTTTGATCTAGATTCCTGTCCCAGGGGACATGAATTTTAAAGGTTTGACAAAAGGCTTATTGATGTTGTATACTTATAATCTTACTGAGGCCACCTTTTTTATAAGCTGCTTTTCAAGACTGACCAATTCAAACTTTTAAAGATATTGAAAATAAATTAAAATTTTGGAATTTTTCTTGTAATACTTTACCAACAAACAAACAAAAAAAAAACACACGACTTTTCTCAATTTTTTCAAAGTTGAATTTCACAATTGAGATCCTATCTATTGTTTAAAATAAATGTTCAAAATGTCACATGCCAAACTCCAGTTAGAGAAATAACTGATTTGCAATTTTGGGGGGAAATTCTTAAACAAGAGGCCCAAGGGCCTTAATGGTCACCTGAGTATAATACAACAATTTAGAGGATCCATAGAGTATAAAATGAACTGAAAGGTGAAGCTTTGTTGCCCAAAAGCAAGAAAAATAGGGTGATCAGGATCAACAAAATAATTAATCTAGTATTCATTGACAGTTTATAAATTAGGTTCTAATCTGTTCCCCATTTATCACTTTCACTATACAGTATATTAAAAACCCATCAGTGCTTCTGTACTATTTTAATTTCTTGTTGAAATCTCTTACATTGGCCTCTCTTGGTCTTTGATGAACATTTAATAAGACAAGTTATTTTTGTTCCATTTTTATTTATCTATTACTTACAAGTCTACCTGATCATTAAAACTATGAAAATACTTTTTGTATTATAAAAATTCTTGCATAATTCTCTTATTCTATTAACCTTTCAAGTACATTGTTGCCAGGGGCAGAGAAGATTTTCAGAGAAAAAATTCACCTTCACTATAGGATCTATATAGTCCCACCCTATAACCAGAACCCCTGTCCATGGGGCCATGAATTTCAAAATATTGGAAGAGGCACCATTGCTTATCATAACAATGTACTTTGTTTGTTTCAAAAATACCCAGGAGCAGAGAAGAAAATTTTTAAAGCATTAATGCATTTTCACTACATAATAAATAGAGCCCGGCCCTAACATCAGAACGCCTGAGCCAGGGGTCATGAAAATCCCTATTTTGGAAGAGTCACCCATGCTTATCATAACTATGTATTCAATTTGTTTCAATAATACCCAGGAGTAGAGAAGAAGATTTTCAAAGTAATAATGCACTTTCACTATATGATCTATATAACCCCCCCTCCTCCTAGCACAAGAACCCCTGACCCTGGGGCCATGAATTTCACAATTTTGGTAGAGTCACCCTTGCTTATCATAACTATGTATTTAATTTGTTTCAATAATACCCAGGAGTAGAGAAGAAGATTTTCAAAGAAATAATGCACTTTCACTATATGATCTGTATAGCCCCGCCCCAGCACCAGAACCCCTGACCCTGGGGCCATGAATTTCACAATTTTGGTAGAGTCACTCTTGCTTATCATAACTATGTATTTAATTTGTTTCAATAATACCCAGGAGTAGAGAAGAAGATTTTCAAAGAAAAATTCACCTTCACTATAGGATCTATATAGCCCCACCCTATAACCAGAACCCCTGTCCATGGGGCCATGAATTTCAAAATATTGGAAGAGGCACCATTGCTTATCATAACAATGTACTTTGTTTGTTTCAAAAATACCCAGGAGCAGAGAAGAAAATTTTTAAAGCATTAATGCATTTTCACTACATAATAAATAGAGCCCGGCCCTAACATCAGAACGCCTGAGCCAGGGGTCATGAAAATCCCTATTTTGGAAGAGTCACCCATGCTTATCATAACTATGTATTCAATTTGTTTCAATAATACCCAGGAGTAGAGAAGAAGATTTTCAAAGTAATAATGCACTTTCACTATATGATCTATATAGCCCCCCCTCCTCCTAGCACAAGAACCCCTGACCCTGGGGCCATGAATTTCACAATTTTGGTAGAGTCACCCTTGCTTATCATAACTATGTATTCAATTTGTTTCAATAATACCCAGGAGTAGAGAAGAAGATTTTCAAAGAAATAATGCACTTTCACTATATGATCTATATAGCCCCGCCCTAGCACCAGAACCCCTGACCCTGGGGCCATGAATTTCACAAATTTGGTAGAGTCACCCTTGCTTATCATAACTATGTATTCAATTTGTCACAATAATACCCAGGAGTAGAGAAGAAGATTTTCAAGGTAATAATGCACTTTCACTAAATGATCTATGTAGCCCCCCCCCTCCTCCTAGCACAAGAACCCCTGACCCTGGAGCCATGAATTTCACAATTTTGGTAGAGTCACTCTTGCTTATCATAACTATGTATTTAATTTGTTTCAATAATACCCAGGAGTAGAGAAGAAGATTTTCAAAGAAATAATGCACTTTCACTATATGATCTATATAGCCCCACCCTAGCACCAGAACCCCTGACCCTGGGGCCATGAATTTCACAATTTTGGTAGAGGGCTCAATGCTTATTACAATCATGCCAACAGTTTGACTGCTTGATGTCCAGGAGTAAAGAAGAAGATTTTTAAAGATTGCATTAATTTTGGTGGTTTTAGCCCCACCCCTCAGGCCCCAGGGGAGCAGGGACCATGATATTCACAAATTTTGTTCCCCTTCACACATAGATGCCATATGCTAAAATTGGCTGAAATTGATTCAGCGGTTTCAGAGAAGAAGCTGAAAATGTTCAAATGTTGACGCACGACGGATGACGACGGACGAAAACAGATAGCAATAGGTCACCTGAGTGACTCAGGTGACCTAAAAAAACGAATAAAAAGAGGCCCATGGGCCTTATAGGTCACCTGAGTATCATGTAACAACTTTCCAACAATTGAATTTGATTCATGTTTTAAACAGAGGCCATGAAATTAACAATTTTGAAAGAGGCACCATTGCTCATCGCAAGTATAAAATTAGCATGCTTAGTTTGATTACTAAATACCCAGAGGCAGAGCAGAGGAAAAAAAAAGAAAATGCATTTCCACTAGACAATCAGTAGTGCCCCACCCGACAGGAGCCCCTGACCCTGGGGCCACACATTTCACCATTTACAATTTTGGAAAAGGCAGTCTTGTTCATCATTAATGTTTGATTAAAACCAAGGAGCAGATTTCAAAGCAATAATTCATTTTCAGTACATAATCATTAGAGACCCTCCCCCATGGTACCCCTGACCACGGGGCCTTGAAATTCACAATTCTGGCAAACCCCACAATGTCAAGGTTTTATGATTTCGGAACTTCACACAAACCCTTGACATAAGTCGTTAATTAAAAGTTGAGTTAGAAAGCTACTATTCAGAAAAACAGCTTTTATTGTAGGTAAGTTTTGTAAGGCCAACATTTTTTTATATTCTGTTTTACGGGAGCGCCGACCCTAATTTGGGCTAAAATGAAATAAAAATAAAAGTCCCCAATTCAAGTTTTATTTTTCCCGCCGATAGTTTATTTATAGTCACTGAAAAGATAAAAGAAATGTATATAACCTTTTTACAAGCCTTTCAAAATGCGATTTGTCATTGGCTGAGGTAAATAGATTCATCCAATCACAGTATTCGAGGCGTGAATAGTCACTGCACAGCATAGCGCCAAAATGTCAGAATCGGAGGGTTTCACGTGTTTTTGAATAGTCAGTTTAAAAAGTGACGTGTCAATGTTTTATATTAGAAAAAGTATAAATTTTAATGAAAGATTGAATGAAATAGACGAAACAGTAATCTTGATCAAATGTCATGCGGAGGGCCACGTGGAAATCGAGGTTCTGTCAACCGCTTGTTTTGAAAAGTTTTGAGTACGTATTATCTTTGACAATTGCTTCAATACATCGAAATACGTCTTGAAGATTTTTTTTAAACTTAATTTTAAGACAAACATGTTTTCTTTTACAAGTAACGACAGAACACTAGAACACTGTAGAACTGGTAGAAAGTGGCGTGACTGAGGAAATTCGAGTCACAACTTTCACTCGTTTTATGACAAATATTGGAATTCAGAATTACCTACGAAAATATATCGGTATATATGCTTGATTAATACAAGACATTATTTCCTTTTTTATCGCTTTATGGAATTTTGCGTGCTATGTAACAAATTAATGTACATTGATTGATCAGCGTATTCATATCAGCTGATGTAGTGTATATGTATTTATAGCTCTTGTTTAGTAAAACAACTTTTTTTACCATTAGGGAAAAGTATTGTTGTAAATGATACGCCCTTACAAATATTATTTCAGTTCAAGACCTGGTTTCTTTTTTCATTCAAATGTTGTGGATTAGAACCATTTTCAACAATTAAATTTTTAAATTCTGCAGTAAACAGAATATTGTCAGGTGTATTTTACATGTGTATACTATGGGAAAGATGTGTATTTTCTACAATTATGTTGAAAGTTAGCATGCTCAGAAAGAAAAATATAAGGATAAAAAGATATCATATATACTAAAGATTGAGGAAGTTTGAATATGTTTTCAATAGAGATATTGTGGTACGTTTTTTCCACCTACGTATATATTAATTGGAAGTACATTGAAAAAAAATATTATACAACTTTTCTTTTTATCATGTCTCATGTGCACTTCTGTGAATTAATTTATTTTAGCTGATCCATTGAATGTCTTACTGTATTTTCTCCATAACTTTTCCATAACTAGTCCAATATCCTCAGATCTTGTAATTTGCTGAATACCGAAAAATAAAAGATTCTGAAAAGTTTATGAGGGGTGTGACATAAGTCCTATAGGTTTACTGTGGTGACAATATGATATTTGACAA